TTGTTCGTTTTAAAAACATTGCCTACATAAATGGAAAGGGACCAGACTTTAAAAATGAACACTTTACCTTATAAAATGTGTGAAAATGTGCTTTATGGCACAAATTATTTTAAACAATCTAATAAATTTTCTTGCATAAGAAAACCCTATAAAATTCATGGGGCCATCACAGGTTGACAGGCGACTTGAAGGCACAAACAAAATACATTTATATAGGGAAAAAGAATATTAAAAATGTGTGTATTTTCAATATATGAAACAGTGTTGAAAAGGTGGCTTGAATTAATTGGCAACATACTTTAAGGACTGCATAGTATATTTGTCCCTTCTGCTAAGAAAACCTCTTGACTTGAAAGTCTGCGTGACTTTCTTAAAGCCATCACCACTGAACAATTCTCTTACAAATTCCTAATGGAAAACAGGTTTACTTATGTTTTGTGGTAAGCTGTAAGACCTCATCCATTAACCACTTAAGAAAACCACACCAAATTGGATTTCTACGTTAACATATTGGTAGTTTTATTTTATAGTGACTATATGTGCTGCATTGACAGTATGATCTGGAATGAGATATTTTGTTATGTTTTATGTTTGGCATTGGATCCCATAACAATGATGAGAAGCTGTCAAGTTCAAATTCTTATACAGTAAACAGAAGGTGAAAGGTTGGGTTTTGCAGCAGCCCCAGTACAAAGGTAACATTTCCTAAGCTCCCAGCCAAGATGTATGAAATCCACAATATCCCAGACATGCATGAATCTTTCACCTGTGAAAATTCTTGTCTCTTGCCCTTTCAGTATGCTTTCAATTTATGTCTTGCAGGACTTTTAAAGACTCAACCAAAGAGATTGGGAAATGTTAGTATACGTGAAAAAATATTGAATGTTCTATGGTGTTAAATTCTCTTGGGGGGGGGGGAATGAGCTGATGGACCAGGAAAGCATGGGCCTGAGTGCTAACCCGGATTGGTCCCTGCGCCATGGACCCGGTATCGTCATGCACCCCTTACCTTACTCTCACATTGCTGCTACTGAAAAGACCCATCGTAGTTTCTCACATGGAAACAGGCCACCTGGCTGCACCCACATGGCCAGGAGCCCTATTTCCATGTCAGATGCAGTGACGAGTCTTTTCAGTAGCTGCAACCGGAGAGTAAGGTAAGGGGCACATGGAGCTGTCTAATCTGTTAGGGTTTGCCATGGAGTTTCCAGGAAAGTGCAGCAAAGCAGGGGTCACCTTGGCTCGCGTTAAGCCCCGTTTACTCTGGGATCAGGCTGGACCCATGTCTGGTCTGCCAAGATCCAGCCTGACCCTGGTCTCATCGTCCAGACAAGATGAGGCCAAAGGGAACACAGACCTTTTCCTTTAGGCAGACAGCCCCTTGGGCAGCCTAGAGAGGTATTCAAATCCCTAAGTGTTCTGGTCTAAATCATAATATGAGTGTTCTTAAATCTTTTTAGGAGAGTCCTTATGCATTTCCACACTCTTCCAGTGCTTACTCTGTTACCAGGCTTTAGGACTGAGTACAGTTGTTAATCAACTTCAGTTTCCATGAATTCCAGAAGACAAAATTAATTTTTCCAGAATCTCTCCAGTCAATGTGATTTTTTTTTTTACATTTGTCTTTTTAAAAAATAAACAAGCCTTAATCTAGGAAAGAGTGTGAAGAGAGCCAGTGTGGTGCATTGGTTTGAGCATTGGACAATGACTCCAGAGATCAGGAGATTTGATTCCCTAGTTGGCTGTGGAAACCCACTGGGTGATCTTGGGCAAGTGACACTCTCTCAGCCCCAGAAAATCCCTTAGGGTCCCCATAATTCAGAAATGACCTGAAGGCACACAACCACAACAACTGTTTGATGAATCTTGTTTTACTAGGATGAGTCTACAGAGGAGATGTTCTTCGAGGGTCTGTCAGTTTTGAAGTCTAACACTTTGTTTGTGCCTTTACTTATTTTCATGCAAAGCAACTGCTGTAAGCTCCTAGCATTTTAACATTCATTTTATCAGGGGATGGGTGGGTAGGGATAGAAAAACTGCTTTTCATTACCCTGTTGTCATTTCTGGATTCAATCTGTGATCCAGGTATTTCAAGAACCAGTTACCTCAAACTTCACGTTATAAACAGTGTTGCTTTCTGGATTCTTCTTCATATTGCAAGACTGTAACATACACAGGCAAGGAACCATGCTACACATGGGTGTGTTTATATATATATAATATATATATATATATATATGTGGAGAAATTGAAATTTATCCCCAAGGACTTGAAGCTTAAAAATAAAGAAGCTAGTGATTCCCTCCCCCCCAAGTATTAAACCAAAAGAACTTCTTTGTCAACCTTTAAATTGCATTGGATGTATGTAACAGTAAGGTGTTACTGAAAGTGCTTCCTTTCCTTGATATTTGGATTTCTACTGTTTTCAGTGTTTTAATGGTTGTCTAGTCAATGTTACTTTGATGGTCTATTGGCCAATGTGTGCCAAGAGTTAAACATGGTTATTTCTCGAAGGGTATGACTTGGACAGAGCACAGGGCTAGACTAAACTATGAGCCCTCAGATACTGATCCCCCCCTTTACCCTATATGCAGCAAATTAGAGCACTACCATTTTCTCTGTAGTGAAGTCTATAGCATTATTTTCACTAATCTTGATTTTGTGAAGGCAGAGAAACTGAACATTTTTTCAATCCTATTGAAACAATTTTTCAACACTATGGCAACCTTTGTTTCTGATTGTTCATAACAGTACATCGGAATTAAATGTGTGTTTTTACCAATATACAAGTGGCCTCCCTATTAAATGAAAATTTAATTGGATGGAGAACAATTTGCCCATCCTAATTTTTTTTTTAATATAAATGATCTGTGTTTAGTGGTTGCTGGGGAAAGGGACTTAATACCCTTCCCCCAGGCCTCCTATGGATCAACAAGTTAGTTTATAATGCTTGACACTTCCAAATAGTGGTTACTGCGGATTTCAAAACCCGTCTCCAGTTCTCTGTCCTACATTTGCAAAATGCCAGGGCATTCCTCTTGAAAATCTACCCGTTACCCACTTAGGAATATAGGAACTGAAGCCTACAGTCTGTCACCTGTGAATATTTGTCACATATTGTCCTTATGTTTGGTAAATTTTCTACTGTAAAGTTGACCTAAGTACAGTTTGTCAGTTCTTGTGGAAAGAGCTTTCTGCATTGTTTAGTTCCATTACAGTGAAATTTACAGTACAAAACAAAATTGGTGGGTGGGGAAGAGGAATTTGCTGCAGAAGAAAAACATGCATTTAAACAAAATTTTGAGTCATGGTTCATTGGATCAGCTACTTCTAAAATGGTATGCTTTATTCAAGAAAACTGAAATAGAGTCCTAAAACTAGTCTAGCGTAGTGAGGTGTGTATCAGTTTTATGATGAATAAAAACTGATGTCTGTGTTACTTAATGTGTACATAGAAAGTCTGAATAAGAGTTTGCAGAAACCTGCAAGATTTCCACTTTGGAGTCTTGACAAACTCCAGAAAAAAAAAACAAGAATTAAGTAACCAGTTTAGGAAATTGCTAAATGCAGAAAGCTCTACCAGATGGTAAAATAATTGAAAAGATTATCGGTCCTTGGCTCAGATTCCAGTGTACTGTTTGTATACCAAGATATGTGAAATGTAAATGTTGTAGGTTATATTTCACTCTTGTAGCTAAAAAAATAAACGTAGACCAGAGATAGCTTGTACTACTGAGTTAACAAAAGTTTTCCTAAAGTATCCACTTAAAAGAAATGTATACAGAGTTGAGCTCATTGCTGTAACCCCTTTTGGATTGAAAAGTGTGCTGATTTATATATATTTATATATATTATATATATAAATATAGATATACATACGTAAGATGCCCTAAAGAAGACATCCACTGTACTGCAGCTATGAAATGAAAATGTTTCGAAACATTGTATCATAATTCATCAATTTGCAATGGATCTTTGTTCCTTTTTACTGTGGTATTTTAGAAAGAAGTCTCATGTTTGAATTTAGATTTGCCAAGTTTTGGGTATTGCTGCTTCAGTTAAGCATAGGGTGCCCGAATAAACCTGTATGAATGTAGTATTTTTGCCCTGTGCGAAGCAGCTCCACTCCAACAAATAGGAGGGGGAAAAACTAGAAAGAACTATTTCAAATTTATCTTTTTTTGTATATTAAAAATAAAGAATAAATTACAAATACCTGTGTGTTTTGTAGCTTCAAGCCAGAGGGCTTTCACTTCTGTATCTTTCAGATCAGGTGATGTATCATTATTGTTTCTCTGTCCTAACACTCTTAATAAAATCTTAAAATTTCTTAGCACATAACAGAGACTAATGCTATAAAGTCTGAAAGTCTTCAGGAAAGTCTTCCTTTTAAACACAGACAGTAGCTACGGTAGCTCCTCTAACAAAACCCTGGAAGCGATTAGTTCTTTTCTATTAATTTTTATTATTTTGATTACTAACATAACTACTGTAGTTCCTTTTTCAAATGCTAAGATCTGAAACACACTGGCTCAGTGCTACAGGATTCTGGGAACTGTAGTTTTGTGAGACTTTTTTGAGACTTCTCTGTCAGAGACTTCTGGTGCCACAATAAACTACAACTCCCAGGGTTTCCTAGCACTGAGCCAAGGCAGTTAAAGTTGTCCCAAACTGGATTATTTCTGCAGTGTGTTTTGGACCATTGTAAGTAAATTTACTCCCTCATTTTACCTCACACCAGAGCTCTCAGAAATAATCTAGTTTGATCCCACTTTAGCTGCCA